ATTTCATTGCAAGTTTGTATAACCTATCTTTTAATAATGGCTGTATTTAACAATGGGCTTGATAATTCCTGAAATTTTAACAGTCTGCTCTTTGGGGCCAGTGAGAACCTACCTAAGCACTATCTGGTGGGCCAATCCTCAGCTGGTTAGGAGCAGTGGCAGCCAGCCACAGTGCCTTGCTCTCTGGGGACAAGAACTGCTTCCTGAAAGTTTCCATTGTCAGGGCTAGCCCGTGGCTCACTTGGGAGAGTGTGGTGCTGATACCAAGGCCACAGGTCCAGATCCCTATATAGGGATGGCCAGTTTGCTCACATGGGACAGCATGGTGCTGACAACACCAAGTCAAGAGTTAATATCCCCTTACCGGTCATCTTTTAATCAAAAAGTAAAAATAAAGTATCCATTGTCTAGGTTCTGGCTGCAGGAAGAACCTTTCACAGAGCGCTGGCTTCTCTGGGCAGTTGGGTGGGAGAGCAGGGGGCAGGAGTAGGCTGAGCTCCTGCGGTGACAGCGTTTCTCCCCACAGAGAAGCTGAAGGATACAGGCCTGCAGGCACCCAAGCCTGTGCCGCACCCCCTGCACCCAGTGCCGGCCCCGCACCACACCGTGCCCAGCCTCATCTCCAGCCATGGCCTCTTCTCTCTGCCAGGCAGCAGTACCGCCACGGCCCTGCTGATCCAGCGCACCAATGAGGAGGAGAAGTGGCTGGCACGGCAGCGGCGGCTGCGGCAGGAGAAGGAGGACCGGCAATCACAGGTGTCAGAGTTCCGGCAGCAGGTGCTGGAGCAGCACCTGGACATGGGCCGGCCCCCAGTGACAACGGAGGCGGAGCACAGGCCTGACAGCACCAGGTGGGGCCCGGGTGGGGGCTCAGGGGACTCATGTGAGCAGATAGGAGTAATGTGTCTTTGCATTCAGACGAGTTCACTGCCAATGCTTATTGAGCACCTGCTGTTTGCTCAACATCCTGCTGAGCGTTTTCACTCATAATCTCATTCAGTGTTCATATTCTAATCCCGTCTGGCCTAGAGGAAACTGAGGCTCTGGTGAGGCACCCAGTCCATAAGTAGAGATTGGCCAAGTCCATGTCCAGAGCCAGGATCTTCCCACGCAGCCCCCCAAGGCCCTGGGAGGCCATTGAAGGCCCCTGAAGAGAACTGAGGAAAGAGCTTTAATTACTAATGGTGCCTATTCTTTCCATCTTCTGCTTTTGAGCCTGGCCTTTTAAGGAGAAGGGACTACCTTTAATTTTTATTTAAGTAAATAAATGGCTTTATTGTTTTTTCAATAAAAGATACCATTTTCCAGCCTGGGTATGAAAGAATTCCCCAAAAGGTATTTGTGCCTGTCTCTGGGACCCTAGCTGCTGGCACTTGCAGCCTCTGGGCCTCCCTGCTCCCAGGTGCCCAGAGCTGGGCTGAGATCCTCAGCAAGAGTTGATGGAGAGAACTTGGCCAGGCCTCTAGAGCTCTGTTCTAGGCCTGGCTCGGGGACCCAGACACCTGGCCTTTGTTCTCTGGGCCTCACTTTTCCTCAGCTGTGCACGAATGAGGGTGGGCGGGAAGATTTGAGTGTCTTTCCAGCCCTTGACGGTGCTGTCACAGGATAAGAGACCCTTGGGTATCTGGGACAGTGGCACCCAGCAGTTTTAGATCTCTACTCCCTTCCTCCCTCTCTTTCCTCCATTGCTAAGTAGGGCAGCAGGGGGATTAGCTCAGCTAATCGTACATGATGGGCCACTGGTAGGGTCTCCCTGTAGCCTGCGCTGCCCAGCACTGCCAGAATGAGGTCCTGCCTGCTGCACTGTCCTGTCCCTCTCAGCCCAGGCTGAAGCCTCAGAAAGGCTCTTGTCTTGCCTGCTCATGAGTTGCTCTGTGTCCTTTGAATGCACCTCTTGCGCAGAGGACTGAGGACAGCTGGTTCACGTCTGGCATCACCTGATAAAACCCAGGCGTTCCTCCTCCCCTGGTGTCTTCCTCTTCGGGGCTCCGCAGGGACCCAATTTAGGGGTCAGAGCCTTTTCCATCTGTGTGCCACTGCTTCAAGCCCGGGTGGCCTTCACCTCAGGACCTCCAAGCCCCGTGCTGGCCAGGGGTGTGGAGGGGAAGCAGGGTGGTAACCCTTGTGTAGCCTCGGTTGCTCCCACGGAAGTTGGCTGTGAGCACAGCCTTACAGCACCTGAACTTGATGTTCTTGAACAGGATCCTTGTGCTCCAAGCTAGGGAACTATTCAGTGCTTGGCTCTGGTGTGTGAAATATTTATTCTGATAATGGTTTATATTCCTTTGATGATTACTTAACAACACAGTTTTTTGTAGTACTCTGCTGCTGAGAGGTGCAGCAGTGTTGGGTTTTTCTCCCAGTCTTGGGTGTGTAGTAACTAAGAGCTTTGGCAGCTGTTTAAATGGTACCCCTGGCGAAGTGGGGAGAGCCCAACCCCATGCCCCCCATGGCCGCTGCTGCTTCCTTCCGCTCAGACTTTGCCCTATGTCACTGAGCAGCATGGGTCCAAACATCCTAGAAGTATATCTCCCTTAAGGAGGAAAAAAAAATAAGCTTTGGGAAAACAGCACCCAAAATAGCCCTTTATAAATTGAACCTTGTTTTATGTGCATTCAGGAAACAAGTCATTTAGTACAGTCGTGAGGCAAACTGCTTGTCTGATGGAAGGTCCCGAGTGTTAGAGAACCCTCCACTTCCCTCCCTGCCTCTGCAGGCCCTTGAAGACGCTTTGGGTGCAGCTCTGGGGCCTCAGCCACTGGCTGTATAATATCACTACAGTTTTGCCAGGGACCACTGGGGGGCGGCAGGGGCACAGGTCCCAGGGTCTCTGCCCCACAGTGGGTTTGCCTCTGGGCTGGGCATATACAGAAGCTGTGTCTTGTGGCCTGCCCTCTGCTACCTAACTGCTACATGGTGTATCTGGCAGAGGGTGCTGGTGGCAGGGCCATACCTCTGGCACAGATTTGGTTTCCCTGTGGAAAACAAGGATGAGGGCTGCCCCTCCAGCCCGTTATTTAAGGGGGTTGTGTTAGGGCCCTGTTAGGAGCTGGTGGGAGGCCTGTGGGTGGCTGGCTAATCTGTTCTCCTGTGGCTGACGGGTTGGTCTGCTCTCCTAGGCCGGGACCAAACCGCCATGAGCCAGGCAACCGTGACCCCCCGCAGCACTTTGGCGGGCCACCACCACTCATCTCGCCCAAGCCCCAGCACCACACAGTGCCCACAGCCCTCTGGAACCCGGTGTCCCTGATGGACAACACCCTGGAGACACGGCGGGCTGAGAGCCACCCTCTGCACAGCCACCCAGCCGCATTTGAGCCCAGCCGCCAGGCTGCTGTGCCGCTAGTGAAGGTGGAGCGGGTCTACTGCCCTGAGAAGGCAGAGGAGAATCCCCGGAAGCGTGAGGCCGCCCCCCTGGACAAGTACCAGCCACCACCGCCACGGGAGGCTGGAAACCTGGAGCACCAGGCCTTCCCCCATGGGCCTGGGCCCTTCCTTGCCGAGCTGGAGAAGTCCACCCAGACTATCCTGGGCCAGCAACGGGCCTCTCTTCCACAGGCAGCCCCCTTTGGGGAGCTCAGCGGGTCCCTGAAGCCCGGCTCACCCTACCGGCATCCAGCAACACGGGGCCCCGACCCTGCCTACATTTACGATGAGCTCCTGCAGCAGCGCCGGCGACTGGTCAGCAAGCTGGACCTGGAGGAGCGCAGGCGGCGAGAGGCCCAGGAGAAAGGTCAGGCCTCCCTCATGGCCCCTAGCCTGCTGGGGACAGGAGCGTAGTGGGGACAAGGGCCTAGTGACAGCCACTTGCCCCTCCTTTCTCCCACTCCTGCTTAACCAGCTCTGGGTAGCACATTCACTGGCTTCTGTGTAACAATCTGACAGCTCTGTTGAGGAGAACAGACCCTGGGCCCCTTGCCCAGCCTGCCAAGATGTACATTGTCCCGAAAAGCCAAATCAAAGTCTGTCTGTAAAGACGGTTCTGCAGACACACACAGTTAATAAATGATGAATGGACAGTAATAAGATGGTTTTAAGATGGTTTTAAATATTAATAGTGCAGCATAATAGGGAGCAGGTCAGTGACAGAGTGGGCCTGGGCCCAGCAGGGGCTCCATATGTGGGGCTGCCATTATTACTTGCAGATAGATGGGCCAGGGGAGTGGGGAGGCAGACACTGGCACTGCTCCAGGTCAGGACAGGAGGTCAGGCACCTCCCTGCTGCTCCTGCTGGTTGAGGGACCTCAGCCAGCAGCTCTCCGAGTTCCCCAGAGCTGAGATGAGATGAGCAGGCCCTGGTGTGAGGGTTGTCTCCACCCGTACCCCCATCTGGCCAGGAGGGAGCAGGGGCTTGGATCCTCCACAGATATCTGAGAAATGGATCAGAGGTGCCAGGCCAGTTTCTTTTCTCCTACTGGAAGCTCGGGTCCTGTCCAATGTTGAACTCAGCCTTCTCTTAATGGGGGTACAGCTTCCTGGGATGTTGGTCTAGGCTAGATTTAGGGCCCAACCAGGGACTTTCTCCCCAGTCACCTTGTAAAGGAGGAGGGGGACACTCCAGTGCTCATGGAGTAGGGATTCTGCCATTGTTCTCTGTGCCTTTGAGAAGATGGGGTCTCTGTGTGCCTGTCCCCATCTGGGTGATGGACCCAGATGGCCACAGCAGGAAGGAGGGCATGTGCACAAACAGCCTCATGTTGCAGTGGACATGGCCCCAGGCCTGCGTGACAAGTGGTCCCCTGCCTGGGTAGGGAGGCAGTGTCAGCCCAAGGACCGAACAGCCACTCGTGGACTCCTAAGAATCGTGAATCCCCACTGGGTTTAATGCAGGTTCTCATCTTTTTGACTCAGATGGGAACCTGCATTCAGGGTGCTCAAAGGGGCCAGGAGGCCAACGGGCAGTCTACACACACATGTGCCGCCAAATGTGCATCCCCTGGAGACTCGAAGTCTCCATTCCCCACTGAATACAGCCATTTTTGCCATCAGGATACTACTATGACCTTGATGACTCTTATGATGAGAGCGATGAGGAAGAGGTCAGGGCTCACCTCCGTTGCGTAGCCGAGCAACCACCTCTCAAACTGGACACGTCCTCCGAGGTACTGGGCTCTCCTAGCCACTGTGGCATGCTTTGGGCTGGGCTTTTGGTCCCTGTGTCAGTGCCTGCCTCCTGGCTTCTGCAACCCCCAGCCCATGCCACCCTTGCCAGGTTCCTGCAGAGGTGCTGGCACACAGTCCATACCCCCAAGCTCCTCTCAGTCACGGCACACAGGCTTCAAGGACCCCAGGAGTGGACCCCAGGACAGTGAAAGTGTACCAGTGTCAGTGGTTTCAAACTCATTTGTTTTCTTTCTTAATCTAGAAGCTAGAGTTTTTGCAACTTTTTGGCTTGACCACCCAACAGCAGAAGGAGGAATTGGTGGCCCAGAAGCGGAGGAAGAGGAGGCGGATGCTGAGAGAAAGAAGCCCATCTCCCCCGACGATTCAGAACAAGCGGCAGACACCATCACCGAGACTGGCACTGTCCACCCGCTACAGCCCTGACGAGATGAACAACAGCCCCAACTTGGAAGAGAAGAAGAAGTTCCTGACCATCTTCAACCTGACCCACATCAGCGCCGAGAAGAGGAAAGGTATGGCCTCTGGGTGGGAAGGTGGGGCGCTCGCTAGAATGGCACGTGGTCCTGAAGAGACAGGGTCTGGAAACGCCATCAGTCCTGGGCTTCCTCTGAGCAGCCCCTGTGCTCTTGTGAGCCCACCTCAGTGGCTCTTATCTGTTACTTTCGCTCTGTCTGAAACTCCCCCCCAGTTGAACATTCTCTCTTCTTGCATCCTGGGTGGACATGAAGACTCAATGGTACTCCTTCTGTATGTAAAGCCCATCTCAAGCTGACAACCGCCCTTGTCATTTGTCCGTCTTCCAGTGCCTGAGAAGGCAGGTCTTTGAGCAGAGCCCTTCAGGGACTCCACCTTGGAGTGAGGGGTCACCAGCACACCAGGTTCATGTGGTGTGGCTTTTCCTCTTGCTGGACTGGTGCTTTGCTCCACTGGTCTTCATGTCTGATGGAGGCCTGGGGAGGGAGGTGTGAGAATGGCCTGTGGCCACCAGGAGGCACCAACACATTGTGAGTGGATTATTTGTCCTGAAAGATGCTTCCAGATTGGTCTGGCCACCCAGGGCTACATTGGGGCAGACCCTTTGGGCTAGAAGTGGTGTGGTCACAGCACTTGCTCAGGCCTCCTACTTCCTCGGTCTGCCTGGCATGCACCTACATGCTACTGAGACGGGAACATACCTGGCCTCATCCCTAGAGGAAAAGTCCAAGGAAAGCAAAATGTACTTCTTGGTTCTTTGGTTTTGTCAGCATGTTTCTTTATTGGAGTGCAGCAGTTTGGGGTTTTTTTTTTTTTAAACAGTAAACTGGAGTTTTCACTTTCCCTTTGAGGGTTAGTGACGTGTTGATTGCCAGCACAAATCCCTGGAAACAGGCATAGTTTTGTTTGCAGAAAGCCTCCTTTTGCCTGGCTAAATTTCTAGATGAAGCCATGGGTGATGTGGCCACTTGTATCAGAGTCAGCAGGAAGTGCCCCTTACACAAGAGTTCACTATGTGGAATATCTTGGGGTCTGCATTCCTTTCAGGAAATGGCAGCGATCGTGGGATTACGCTCGAGGGCCAGGAGCAGTGGGAGAGGAGAACCCACCGTGCTCCAGAGGCCCACGCAGGTCTTCAGGGAGTTTCCTTAAGAGAGCTTTTTTCTCTTTTAAATAAGTACATTCTCAGAAGTCACCACCAAAGACCATGCTATCCAATGTTTCACAGAGCAGTAATCACCGCACATGCACCATCTTTGGGAGGCACTTAAAACATCATGTAGTCAAAACCGAGAGGAGTCTGGGTTCGCTTTAAAATGAAGGCTTCTTCCTTTAAACAGGACTGTCCTGTGGCGCTTTTGGTTTTTCTTGGTTTAAATTGCTTGCATCTGCCAGTCATGGCTGGACTAGACTCCCACTTTTCTTCCTTCTCAAATGATGTGACTTGCCTCGTTAATCTCAGGCTGCTTTTCTCATAGACAAAGAGAGACTTGTTGAAATGCTCCGTGCCATGAAGCAGAAGGCACTGTCAGCAGCAATGGCAGCCTCGTTGACAAACTCTCCGAGGGACAGTCCTGCCGTCTCCCTGAGCGGTAAGGGAAGGACAGCCCTGTCCACCACTACCCGGGACCATCACATGGGCTGCCCAGGGTCAGAGGCAACCACTCAAGGTCTTCATCGTGATCCTGACCTCTCTGGAGACAGTGTTTCTTTCCATCCCTCTCATGCAAGTTTATGGTTCTCGCACAGTTGTGAAGGTCCTCGGGATGGACCGAATTAGAAGGCAGGCTCAGAGTTAAGGGGAGGGTCTGCAAAGCCCTGTATGGTGGTCAGCGTGGTCGCGGCTATCATCCCTCACTTGTGGCACAGATCCTCATGTGGAGGTCAGTCCAATGGTGGCCCAAGTCACCGAGCGCTGTCCCAGGAAGGAGGATGTGCGTCAGGCCCTGGCACCTGTGGCCTTGTCCTGCTGTCAGCCCCGGCTTTCCTCTTCCCGCGTCTTGGTTCTGCTCCTTGTGCCTTCCAGGCCTCGCCAAAACCTGCTTTCATACTTTCTCTCTTTTCACGCCTCTGATTGTACCTCTGCCCTGCCAAACAAAGCAGGGAATCTTTTGGTCCAGTCCTCTTCTCAGCTCTTCACACGCTCGCTCTTGTCCAGCCAGACAGGACCTGAGCAGCCTGCTTCTTCCTTCAGATCTGTTTCTTCCCACATGCCTTCTCAGGGCACCTTTCAAGGATGGACTTGCTGCTAAACACACTACCGTCTTGAGACCATAGCCATGTGCACAACAGCTAATTGTCCCCTGACTCTTGGTCCTTTGCACAAGGTCTTTGTTAAATGTAAGCTTTAGAGACCAGGGTCCACGTGCTAGACACTTTGCCTGTTAACTTGCAGCTCTTAACATTTTCCCTCACTTTCTGTCTCTAAAAGAACCAGCTGCGCAGCAAGCCTCTCCAGATGCAGATAAGCCTGTTGCTGTTGCTCCTTCCTTGTCTGACGTCCCAAAGGCCATGGAGCCTGGGAGACTGGAACAGCTCCGACCTCAGGAGCTCTCAAGAGTGCAGGAGCAAGCTCCTGCCAGCAGTGAGAATGCCAGGCCAAGTGAGGCCACAGGGGGCAAGAAGAGCCTGAGCATGCTTCATTATATCCGGGGCGCTGCACCCAAGGACATTCCTATGCCACTGTCCCACAGCATCAACGGGAAGAGCAAGCCATGGGAGCCCTTTGTGGCAGAAGAGTTTGCACACCAGTTCCATGAATCAGTGCTGCAGTCCACCCAGAAGGCCCTGCAGAAGCACAAAGGTAATGAGGCTGCCTGTCCCATGCTGCCTTGGTGCTGGCTAGAGTCCTAGCACCAGCAGCTGCTCACTGTGGCCATGGGCTCGTCCCACAAGGCACCTGGGGCCCTCATCAGGCACACGTCTGGGGTAGGGCTCAAGATTCCCTTTGTCACGGGCTCCTAGGTGAACTTGGTGCTAGTCTGCAGACCACACTCCCAGGACATTTAGTGTCTGAGTTTAGTAAGACCAGATGGAGTGCCTTACTGTCAAAAACAGTACTTCATGCATTCTACAGAAGAGTGACTTTCTGGGTGACCCCATGGGACTCAGCTGGAAATCTCCATGCTCCTTTGATGACTAGGCACCACTGGGCCACATGAGTGCTTAGGGATATAACAGTTGCCTAGCCCTGCACCCAATCTCCAGATTCACTCCCTCTAAAATTTTGGTGGGAATGGGAATCACTGAAAGTCACAGGATGGTGGTCGTGACATTCTATTCCCAATGAATCAAAAGTTGAAATTGATTAGAAAAGAATCCTAGAAAAAAAAAGAATCCTCAATGATTAAGTAAATACCAAGTATGAAATAAATTCTTGTAAATTCTGATAACCAGAAGGAAATAGTTATGGCAAAACCACGCTTAAGTGTTTGTAACTGCACCTATGAAAGCTGAGCTAAAACAGATTAAAACCATTTGTAGACATCCAGCTCTGGCACTATGATTTGTCTTTCACCTCAGTTAATGTGTCAGCAGAGACAGACTGATTCCTGACAAGGAACAAGAGAGAACAAGCAGGCACTGGGTTTTGCAGTGATTAAAAAAGACTCCCCAGAAATCAGGAGTGCATTATTGGATTTGTATTGTAAATTTATTTGAAAGAATCATTTTTCAAGATCAGATGCAAATCACTCCTGTATAGTCCATTTATGTTGCTTATAACAAAATACCTGCAACTGGGTGATTTATAAAGAAAATAATTTATTGCTTACAGTTTCTGAGGCTGGGAAGTCCACAGTCCATCTGGTGGTGGCAACAGTGACCAGGGGTCTCACATGATGGTGAAAGCAGAGAGAGAGCAAGAGAGACTCTCCTTTTAAAGCCCTCAGAACTCCTGACCACCATTTTTAATCCATTCACTATTGCATGGTCCTACAATCCAATCACCTCTTCAAGGCTCTCCCTTTCAATTACCATAATAGGATTTCCTACCCTCTTAACAGTCACAGTGGGGCTAAGTTTCTAACACATAAAACTTGGGAGACAGTTCAAGCGTTAGTGAGTTTTGGGGGGACATAACTCAATCCACTACAGCTCCCCACTCCTCAGGGTGGAGATCCTGTCTAAAGGAGATATTACAGAGCAATTCTGAGATGCTCTTAGAAGCTTTGAAAGGCCCTCCCTGCACCACACAGAGGCTTTTCTGTGGCCTAGAACACATTTTTTGTGCCTTACACTTGACCATTTCCTCAGGATTTTAAAGTCATTCTGCCAAACCAATCCCTTGCTTAAGCCAGCCTTGGGCTCTACCAGAGGCCACTGTCTGCACAGGGAGGCAGCGTGTGGCCATGAAAACATCACCAGCAGGGCCGTGCTACAAGACAGAGCAGACCCTGTTTAAACAGGCCACAGTAAGGCTTACTCCTGCTAGAGGGCGGAGCCCCGGCTGTGCCCAGGACTGGAATATCTGCATTTCAGGGGAGGAGGAGGCTGGTACTTACTGAGGGCCAGGTACAGACCAAGCTCAAACCCACAGATGGCTCAGAGATGAACTCAGCCAGGATTGTACACTTGTTATGGCTGATTGGAACTCAGGTCTGCCCCTCTCTGAGGCCATTTCTAACCTTATGGTGCCATCTTTGGCCCAGCCTGGAGACCTGCATTCATGCTGGCTCTACACCAAAGGCAGGTAAGAGCCCCCTTTCTAGACGGTATTTGTCATCCCCTTACCACCCCTTTACACACAACCCTGCATCACGACGAGCCCTGTTTTCTCCCCACCAGGGAGCGTAGCCATGCTGTCTGCAGAGCAGAACCACAAGGTTGACACGTCCGTCCACTACAACATTCCTGAGCTGCAGTCCTCCAGCCGGGTTCCTCTGCCACAGCATAACGGGCAGCAGGAGCCCCTAGCTGCAAGGAAGGGCCCACCTGCGCAGGAGATGGACCGGGACGAAGAGGAGGAGGAGGAGGAGGACGGCGAAGAGGAGGAGGAGGAAACCCCCAGGCGCAAGTGGCAAGGGATTGAGGCAATTTTTGAAGCTTACCAGGAACACATAGAAGGTACAGAAGGAGTGGCTTGGGTGGTGGGTATGCAGGGTAAAGTAGTTTGGAAAAGCAGCTAAATACTCATTTGTGCAGGACTTCTGCCTGCCTCAGGGACTGTTTCTGAGTCACAGTACCAGAACTTAGATTTCCTGGGGCACACTAGGTACAAATACCAGAAGGTGAATGTTCCTCAGGTTTCTGCAGGGGCCCAGGCTTGTGGTAGCAGTAATTCGTTGTGCCCAAACCTGAGACTGTTCTCACTGGGGACGCTGAAGTACCCTAACACCGGCTGCGTTGTGGCACCTGTCACAAGAGTGACAGCCCAAACATGGACTGCAGAAATCCCATCAGTCCTGATGCTTGCCTTGGCTTCGATTGAGGGTCCTGGAAAACACTCTAGTTTGTTGACTTAGGTGAGCCCGGAGGGCAAGGCCAGATCCCCATGCTGCAAGGATTGTTCAGTGGTCAGTGGGTGCCACTCATGTTTTTAGCTGACTTTACTCTGAGGTTCACCTCTGGCTGAGCACTTTTCTGAAGGTGGCAAGCCCTTAGGAAAGTGTCAAAAGCTTACCTCCCCTGGCCAAACCCAGCACT